CTGATTTTTAACTGCCTCATCCACATTTACTACAACGTCCACCTGCCCATTTGTAAACAAAGAATGTCAAAAGAATACAAATTCATTGTGTTAATAACACTGTAGATGGTCATGTGCTCAGAATCCAAAGTTTACAGACTAAAATACTGAGAATGAGGACTGGTGAAACAATTCTGGGAGGAAGTTCACTTACTTTGCATTTATTTTCAACATAAAGTTAAAGACTATTCCAGCCTCGATCTGAATGGAGAAAGTTTCTTTATTCATTAAGCAAATATTTACTGGGCATCTTATTACGTGTTAGGCACTTAGTGAATACTTCCATAGAGTGTTACTAAAAAGCAGTAAATATATATGACTTAATGAAAAGTGACTGATCCTATCTAGAAAATTTAGTCTACTGGGCATACAAGTCCTCTTTATATATAAGTTGTGAGAGAAATATGATACAAAATAATAACTTATCACTCCACCAAGGCTGTTTCTCACCTTTTCGCAAACTACAAATTTATTTATTACCACTGACAGGAACTCAATAATCAGTACCTCATTCTACTAAATGGATCGTTAAAAAAAGCAGGGGTTCAACTCCAATACCCATCCAAAATTGCAGACATTTACCTGATCTACACTTACTTTTCTTGGGGTAATGTGTGTGTACTGGAAACTTAAAGAGGCATGCTCGACTCTTTGAAGAATTAATCGAAAATTTCTCATGCCTGTGCTGAGTTTAAGCTGCTCAGTTTAACTGGCTATTTAACCCAAACCACTGAAGTTCAAATGCTTAGTCTTTCTTGGTTATTAAATGCCTTCTTTAGTTATTAAAACGGTTGTGTTTAGGGCATCTTTTTGAACAATTTGGTCTTCCCCTTCCCTCCTCCCCTCCCACCCCCCACCCCCGTATTTTGCCACTGGTTTAACTCTTTTACCCACAGAAATGAGAAATGCCCAAGTCTCCAGCTTCTGAAAATAACATCTGGTATGTGCACATAACAACAAGCTTGGGAGAATGTCCTAGTTTTTATTTAAAACTTTTTCATTTAAAATGAGAATGCCTTTAGCAAAGATTAGACATAAATCAGCTTTTACCTTATTAGGAGATTGTTATTTTCAACATTTACCTTAAACCACAACATGGATTTATCTTCTAACCAGTTAGCTTCCTGTCTCTCCTCAACTAGATTAAGTTGTTTTTTTTTTTAAAGCAAAGGACCACTGGATCCCATGATCTGTAGCCCAGCTAATATATTTCAAAAACTCTGTAAGCCTCCACAAAGACTTAAATGTTGCTAGCCTTAAGGATTTCTCTAATACTTTAAAGCTGTTTAGATAAGAACAGGTTTAACTGTTACTACAGTTATATACCAGTGGGTTCTTAAAGTGTAGGCCTGGACCTCTGAGAGTTTTCAAGACCCTTTCAGGGGGTATGTGAGATCAAACTATTTTCATAAATAATATATTACTTTTATTTTATATCCTCATTCTCTCACAAGCATGCAGTGGAATTTTCCAGAGGCTACATGATATGTGATATATCAAGAGACTGAATGCAAAAGCAGATATGAAAATCCAGCTGTCTTCTACTAAGCCAGAGTTGTAAAAATATAAAATACCACTCTTCTCACTAAATTTTGTTTCGAAAAGATAGTTATTTTACATAAACAATTATTTATGTTAACTGGTAATGCATTTATTATTGTTATTTGTGTTTTAATAAATACATATTTAAATATTTTCTATTTTAATGTCTGGTACAGCAGATATTAATAGATAAAATCCATACAAAAGTTCTTTGGGGTCTCAATAATTTTTAAGTGTAAAAGGGTCCTGAGAACAAAAAGTCTGACAACCACTGTAGTATACAATTACATAACCTAACATACAGTGCCTTCCATATATAAGAAGCTCAAGTTAATTCCGAAGTATAATTACTTCTTACAACCCCTAATCTTGTTGAGTAATGTATCTCCTTGTAAAGCATAATTCAGCATAAAGCCAGTCTGTCCTAGGCCCTATTTAAGGAGCTTTAGATATTTAAGTATTCAGAGTCCTCTTTATAAAGACGTTCTGACCTGTAACACCTCCTATTACGTGAAGTATGTATGAGTTTCTCAACGTTTTTCACAAAAATTACCTTCTTCATCCTATCAGCAACCTGTGAAGTAAATGTGAAGTATTATTCCTTTTTACAGATGACATAATGAAATTGATGCTTAAAGGAACAGAACTACTTGTCCAAGGATGTACTGCTCGCTAGTAGAACCTAGGGTGTTTCTTTTGTAATTTGCTTGACTGCCTTAAGGCTGTTTCGCTGTGGTGTAACTGCAAAGAAAACAGGACAACGGCATGACTTTTATTGTCCCAGTGCCAAAACAGGGATTTTTAGCTCCTTAATAAGAACGTAATCAGACGCAATAACCAGTCACAGCATTATTCAACACATTGGCTACCCTTTTGGTTCCCTACAGACAGAGGAGGGAGAGGGTGGTAGGGAGGGAGAGAGCGAGAGAGAAAGAGAGCAAGAGAGCGAGAGAGCAAGAGAGAGAGGCGAGAGAGAAAGAGGGAGGGAGGAAGGGAGGGAGGGAGGGAGGGAGGGAGAGAAGAAGGGAGAGAGAGAGGGAGAGAGAGGGAGGGAGGGAGACAGGAAGAAAAGAAATTCAAGAGTATTGGAGAATAAATACCAGGATACATGATGCTATAATGCTCCAAGATGATGAATTCATTAAGGACTCACAGATTTACTAATCATTTAATCACTGGAACAACAGGCAGGCAAGGACAAGATCAAGTTCAATGCAATAACACCAGAGTATATCAATGAATGGATGCCAACAGGTTAAAATGGGAGGCCCACATGAAGAGGGTTCAAATCATAGAATATGGACAGAAGAAAAAAACACATAAAGTTGTGAAACTAGCTTTATTGGTTCTACAAATCCAAGCTCATAACTAGAATCACCCTGGCAAAGGAAAGTCAGAGACAAACTGTTGCAAGATGCAAAGATGCCAACCTACCCCTGGACAGAAATCATCCCTCCCTTAGGGCTAGACATACTAGTTTGTTCTTGTTATCAGCACAAGTCTCTTCATCATGCCTCATTTTAACTTAAGTTCCTCAAGATATTCTCAATTTTCTGCATCTCTTTTCCACAGTTAAGTGGACTCCGTGACTGTGAGACTGACTCACAACAGGGTATCTGCCACTTGCATAAACTCTTCCTTTTTTCAGATGCATGTGCCTAGTAGTGAGTCGATTTTAAAATTTGATGTGATTTTACCAGGAAAAAAACAAAACAAAAGTGTGCTAATCGTCTGCTTTTATCCCTGTAGTTTACTACAGATGAGCAAGAGTAATTTCATCATTCCTCATGAGGTCTGCTTTTCCTTGTGTTTACTTTGGTCATTTTTTTCCCCCAAATCTCGTTTGGAAAAAAAAAAATTAAAAGTTACAGCTATTGCGCCACAACTATAGCTACAATTATAGCTAATGCGCCACCAACCAATTTGTAAAGCAATTTGACACACCTTATTTGTCGTTTCATACTCAACATTTACTGTGAAAGATACATTCGTAGGTAATAGCTAATTTAAGTTTCTGCATCCTCATAAACGAACTGCAATACTGCACTGTAAAACCAATTAACCAGTTAATCTTTAAAGGCTTCATGCTGAAAAAATGACTTTACAAAGGCAAACAAAGCGTCAAACCTCTGAGAACTCCAGGAAACCGCAGTTATTTCTATTCCTTATCCTGGAGTACATTTTTCTTTGTGGCGTTACCTACGTTTTTCTCCAAGGACATAATCACCATTCAAGAAGTAACCTGTCTAAAGTGTTAAGGCATTCTCTAAACTATCATCCCAGCTCCAGCCCACAACGAGAAATGTCACACAGCTAAATGATACCATTGCTGTTTCCCTATGTTTCTTCAAATGAACTTAAGATTTCTGAAGTGCATCATTCAAATTTTACACTACAACCCAAGCTACCATTGATCATCTCAAAGCTAATAAACAAAGACTCCAGCAGCGGCACCAGGGCCCTACCAGGAAGTAATCAAAGCAGTGTGCCCAGTGCGATCCTAAGTCGCTAGAGCAGACAATAAGGCACCGGGGATTCCAAGGGGCCCGGCAGAATGAGTTCATTTGCTTAAGCAATGCAAAAGCATTACATAAACCTAACAACTGTTCCACAGCACATGAATTTAGGAATCCCAACGCAATTTCGGTCAATCCCAAACATCCGAAAGGCAATCGAACCGCCTCTCCAAAGCAGCTGCTGGATCCGCCTCCCGAGTTTTTAGCCTGCAGCTTGTTTCCAAACTTCACCCTCCCTGGCTGGTGAAAGACTCCGACATCGGCCGCCCGAGTTCTGAGCACCTCTCCGGGCTCGGGGCTCCCACCCGGCGTAGACAGGGTTGCCGGAGCCTGAGGACAAGCGAAAGGAAACGGGGCCGAAGCAGACAGCGAAGGGCCCTAGCGCGCTCCGCAGCCTAGACAAAGCTGCACCAGGAGAGTGGTGTTTTTCCCGTCCGGCGGAGGACGGGACGCAACCTCGCCCCCCGCCACCCCCCCGTCCCCCCCACACACACG